AAAACAGAACAAATTACAGTATTAAAATCACAACAAACCGCGGAAGTGGGACAATTTTTGTATTTTTACTGTAAGACATGTAGAACATGTACGAAATCCATACAGAAGTGTGTGTGTATTCCATACTTTTGAAACAACTAAATCAGACTTCGGAAAATTTGACCGTATTAAAGCTGCTTTCTCGGCTGCTTTTGGGAATTTAGATTTTTAGGTCTTCGTTTTTATACATGTACCCAGACCAGTAAATATTTTTGAGTTTTGAATTTTGTGTATAAATCAACACCAACGCCTCAAAGGCGAAAAGGAGGGCAAGATTGTTAGAATTGCTATTGTAAACATGAGCAGTTTCGAGCATAAACATGAAATTGAAACGAGTAATTTTTACACATCTGATTGACTAAATTCAGGAAGCCATTTAAGTGTACGCGTATTTGTTACAATTCCGATCAACTCTGCCGTGCAGCACGGCAGAGCCAGAGTAAATTGTAAACAAATTGTAAGCTTGTGAGAATCAAAGTTCAAAACTCAAAAATATTTACTGGGTACATGTACATGTAAAACAAAGACCTAAAATCTAAATTCTCAAAAGTAGCTTTAATACTATCAAATTTTCCGAAGTCTGATTTAGTTGTTTCAAAAGTATAGAATACACACACACTTCTGTATGGATTTCGTACATGTTCTGCATGTCTTACAGTAAAAATACAAAAATTGTCCCACTTCCGCGGTTTGTTTAGTTTGTTGTGATTTACTGTAATTTGTTCTGTTTTTCTGTAGCGGTTACCGATTTATCGGCAAATACCGCGATAAAACGTAGTTTTCTTTATTTATTTTATTCTACAGCATTTATAGTTCTACAGCTATCTTATACAGTTTTATGATATAATAGTGAATGATTCCGAATATTCAAAACGGATTGAAAGAATGAAAGCAGTAATTATGTATAACGGTTTAAACGTAGGCCGTACAGCACACTGCTCACTGGTCACTGGGACGAAGGATAAACCGAAAATTCACTTCTCTCCATGACAAGCTTTTATAATGTTCAGTCGATCCGCTACATTGAAAGATGAGTACTTGGCTATTTTTTTGGCAGGGGTAACGAAATATATCGGCTGTTCTCTAAGTGTTTCTTAATGCGTTAGCCATCGGAATATAATATAACAGTACATAACTCATAAGCTTGATAGATATGTGACGAGTTTCACAGGCACAATCCTATTTTAAATACTATGGCTTTTGGCAGTTTTGCATCATATGTGCAGTAAAAGCCCCATTTTTCTACTTCCTCATCGTGTAAAACGCGAAAAAACTTTATTAATAAGAACAAAAATTTGTAATAAAAATTTGTAGTAAACAGTGTATTTTATTATAAAGGATTTTCGTTTTTCTACTGCTCCGTAGTTCGTGTGCTCCGTGCTCCGTGTGCTCCGTGCTCCGTGTGCTCCGTGCTCCGTGCTCCGTGTGCTCCGTACTCCGTGCTCCGTGTGCTCCGTGCTCCGTGTTTTACTAATAGTCGCAAATTCTAGGTTCTGAAGAGTAAATTTTAAGTTCCGAAGAGTCAATTCTAATTTTGAAGAGTAAATTTTAAGTTTGGAGGAGTAAATTCTAAGTTTATAAGGGTAAATTCTCAGTTTTGAAGAGAAAATTCTAAGATTTGAAGACTAAATTCTAAGTTTAGAAGAGTAAATTCTAAGTTTTGAAGAGAAAATTCTAAGTTTTAAGAGTAAATTCTATGTTTTGAAGAGTAAATTCTAAGATTTGAAGAGTAAATTCTAAGTGTTGAAGACTAAATTTTAAGTTCCGAAGAGTAAATTCTAATTTTGAAGAGTAAATTCTAACTTTTGAGGAGTAAATTCTAAGATTCTATCTTGTCATCAGTCCCTGTCACGAAGGAGTCCCATGAGATGCGCATGCGCATTGCTGATCAGTGCTTAGCGTTCTGCTGGAAAGTAAACAACAAAGTGAGTATGCTCTGAAAAAATCCTATTTAATCTTTACCATCACGTTTAGATAAGGGGAAAAATCGTTCGGAGAAGCAGGAAGACATAAGTAAGTATCATAATTTCCAAATATTTGTTAATCTAGCCGCTTTATTTGCAGACTTTAGACTACATTTCATTCATGGATCAAGAAGGATCGCACGGCCTTGCTTCGACCGAAGCACCGGATCAGGCGATCACTGAAGCGTCAAGGAAACAGCCAGAGGCGCCTAAACCTGATATTCAGGAAGCTCTCGCTAATATCGATACCACAATGGGTAAAATGGCAGACCTGTTCGAAATACTAATAGCTGAAAAAGCTAACAAGCCTTTACAAGGCGAACGCCCAACGGGCAAGAAACGAACGGCAGCCGAGCGTGAAGACGACACTGCCGGCGGGGACGAATCAGAATCAGAAACATCGTCCTTCAGGTCTAGAGGCAAGCGACAACGTCGCGAACAGTCTCCTGATGCCATAAGCATTCATGCTGGCGAAAGCGAGGATGAATTAGCACAGCTTTTGGGAAGCTCTGAAAAAGAGCGGGAAAATGAACCTGACACCGAAGCCGAACACCTCTTAAATGATCTTGCGAAAGACCTATCGGATGATGAATCCACAGGTCCAAACATATCGCAAAAATTAGCTGATATAGCATTAAAACGTTGGGGTAAACAACTCAACCCTGAAAAATTGAAGAGTATACTAGAGAAATATACTCGTCCTGAAAACTGTCCGGGTATGACATGCAAAAGTCAACCCGGAAATATGGCAGTTGTTGGGTTCGAAGAGCAAGAGAACAGATATTCAACTGTATAATTTACAGCAATCAGTTCTCAAAGCAACATTTGCAGCTTTACAAACAACAAATATGTTAGTGGAAACTCCTAACAGGGATAACTCCCAGTTGTTGGCAAGCTTAGTAGATACTGTAGCCATTTTAGCACATACCCAAACTAACTTGTCTCTGGTCAGGAAAGAACAAATAAAGCCTGCCCTTAAAAAGGAATACTCGGCAATATGTTCACTGGAAGACCAGCCAAACAGTAAACTGCTGTTTGGAAATGATTTGGCAAAAAATTTAAAGGATGCCAAAGAGGCTAGTTCCCTCAGTTCTTCTATGAAAAGTTATCCCCCCAAGCAGTACAATTACTCTGCAAACAAAAAACCTGCCTTGAAAAATAAGCAGGATTTTTGGCAGGGCCAGCGCAAGAACAATCAAAAGAAAAAACCCTGGAGGGGAGACGAGAGAAGAAGTGACAGAACTTCTCAAACAAATCCGAAACTCGGTAAGTGAATTTGAAAAATATATACCTGTTATTCTGACATATTTACAGAATTTATGCACTAGCTTTAAGGCTGGTCGAGTGGCTGAGCATTTTACAGCCTGGACTAAAATAACTCAGGACAGCGAAATTTTATCAAATATAACAGGCGTTGTAATTGAATGCACTGAGACACCTGTGCAACTTAACCTACCAGGTCAAAAGTTTCACCCACATGAATACCAAATACTTGATGCAGAAATATCAAAGTTAGTTGGTAAAGGGGTAGTAAACAAAGTACAACCTGAAACAACACAATTTATTTCTAGCATATTTTTGAGACCAAAACCTGATGGGTCACACCGTCTCATTCTAAATTTGAAAAAGTTTAACGAAACAGTAGTATATCATCATTTTAAGATGGATTCTATTTATGATATAACTAAACTAGCTAGTTACAAAGGACTGCTTTATGGCATCTTTGGATTTAAAGGATGCATATTACTCAATACCCATCAAAGCATCAGACCGAAAATATTTACGTTTCATCTGGAAAGAAGAAATTTACCAGTTTACATGTTTGCCCAATGGGCTTTCATGTGCACCTAGGGTATTTACAAAAATATTGAAACCTGCATTAGCAACTTTACACTCTATGGGCCACATTTCTGTGGCACATATTGATGATTGATACCTACAAGGTCAGACTTATGATAAATGTGTTGTCAATGTCCTTGATACATTCATGTTGCTTGACAATTTAGGGTTTGTGATACACCCCATTAAATCAATTCTTAAACCCTCGCAGCAAATTATCACTCTGGGATTTTTTTATTGAACTCATTGACCATGACCATACGGTTGACTAGAGATAAAGCTATTGATTTAAAAAAGGCTTGTAAAGCTTTAAGGACGGCCTCCAAACCACAAACAATACGAGAGGTTGCGAGAATTATTGGTAAAATAGTGGCAAGCTTCCCGGGGGTTATGTACGGACCCTTGTACCACAGGGAGTTGGATAAGGATAAAACCCAGGCCCTAAAAGAAGCAAAAGGGGATTTTGATGCGACAATGGCACTATCACAGAGTGCAAAAACGGAATTGCACTGGTGGGAGTGTCATGTGGAAAACTCCTTTCCGAAATTGACACACGAGGAGCCACAACAAAAAATCACTACTGATGCCTCGGGATGGGGGGCGGAGTACCAAGATATATCTACAGGGGGATGTGGACTAAGTCTGAAGCTACAAATCACATTAACTACCTTGAAATGTTAGCCATCTTTCTTGGCCTACAGACATTTGCAAAAAATCTGATTAACACACACATAAGAATAATGTGTGATAATACCACTGCGGTTAATGTTATAAATCACATGGGTACAAGTCACTCTGACATTTGCAATAATATGGCAAAGCAAATTTGGGAGTGGTGTATAGATAAAAACATATGGCTCACCGTAGACAACATCCCGGGAAAACAAAATTAATTTGGTGGCGGATTATGAATCAAGGCGACATCAAAGGGAATCTGAATGGATGTTAAATAAGGCATTGCTTTCAGATACCTTGGTTTAAGCTTAACTTTAGCCCAGAGATCGACTTATTCGCAACTCGGGTAAACAAGCAATTCCTAAAATATGTTGCATACCGACCAGACCCAAATGCTGGTGCAATATATGCATTCACCTTATCATGGCGAACTTAAAATTTTACGCCTTCCCACCATTTAGTGTCATTGGAGCTATGCTGGCAAAGATTCAAAAAGAGGGAGGTTAGGGAATATGTGTGTTACCGAACTGGCCAACCCAGAGCTGGTATGCAAAAGCGTTTCACATGATGACACAGGAACCAGTTTACATCAAAGCCAGCAAAAGTCTTCTCGGCCTACCAAGTCATCCACAGGAAATACATCCAATTTGGCAAAAAATAAACCTTATAATCTGCCTCTTGTCCGGGAGAAACTAGAAAGATACGATTTATCAGCTGACGCAAAAGAGATCATTATGGCTTCGTGGAGACCAGGTACATCAAAACAGTACAAAACATACTTAGATAAATGGCAGGTTTATTGCAAGGAACAGCAAATTGATGTAATTAAACCAGGCTTGGAGAATGCCATTGAGTTTCTTGTTTCACTGTACCATTTAGGTATAGGTTACAGTGCCATAAACACTGCTCGTTCAGCGCTTTCTAACATACTTATATTAGATGATGGCGTTAAATTTGGGGAACACCCCCTAGTTATTCGCTACATGAAAGGCATATTTGAAATAAGGCCAGCCTTACCCAAATATTCAGAGATATGGGATGTTACTGTTGTCTTAAATTATTTAAAGACGTTTCAGCAAGTTGCCTCCTTACCACTCAAGGAACTCTCAACTATTACTGAGCTACATCAAACCCTTTAAGCCAGTCTCGAAAGACACAATCGCGCGTTGGGTCAAACTTGTTCTCAGATCAGCTGGAATTGATGTCAAAAAATATTCTGCTCATAGTTGCCGCACAGCATCAACATCAAGTTGCAAGGCTAAAGGTCTTACCATGAAGGCAATAATGAATGCGGCAGGTTGGTCGAATGCTGGGACATTTGCAACCCTTTATGAAAAACCAGTGGATATTGTTAGCCAAAACTTTGGTAGTGTATTGTTAAAACAGTGAGCATAAAATTGGTTGATATTGTTTAATTAAAGTTCATTGAAATTTATTTACATTGTTCGATGTGCTTGGTATTTCGTAGCACAGGACTTTGAAATCTCATGGGACTCCTTCGTGACAGGGACTGATGACAAGATAGAATTACAAAATTAAACGAAACTTACCTGGAAGTTGAAGTTTGATTGGGATTCTATCTTGGTCATCAGTCCGGAACGAAGGAGTAACATGCCCTAAATACCCACCCTTCTCATCTTTGTTATTAAACCTCCTGCACTACTGATCAGCAATGCGCATGCGCATCTCATGTTACTCCTTCGTTCCGGACTGATGACCAAGATAGAATCCCAATCAAACTTCAACTTCCAGGTAACTTTCGTTTTATTTTGTAATTATACGAGCACTCGAAGGGAGAAATGTACGGAACCCACCCAGCTGGTGGCTGTCCCACCCAAATGTTTATTTAAATGGTGGTCGTTACAGAGTTGATATATAAATTAAAAGTAAGTTTAGCATCTCTTTGGGGAATTATTACAATAGCGTGCATGTTGTCATGGTGATGCATTGCAATGCTTTGTAATAAGTCGAAGATCGTAACCTGGGGTGATCCCTTATATGGTGCTTACTACCATATATGGGTTGGGGTATTCCCGCGCTTTCTTTTTTTCTCACCCAGTGCTTTTAATATGTGGCGCCTTCGCCGGTTGGACAACGTCATACCGTAAGTATTCCATACATTTCTCCCTTCGAGTGCTCGTATAATCATAATTATACGGGCGCGACGCTTGACGGCGCTGGTATAGTTAAAATTGCTTCCTTTCTTCTTGGTCTACGATCCTCCTTTTCATCTTTTTGATTGATTTTAATAATTACCACATTGTAAATTAATAAAAATTTAAAAAACGTGATATTACATAGATAGTATTAAAATTTTTAAATTTGCAAGAAGTTCAATTTAAAACTACTATAATATAAACTATATTAATGATATGTACTATAAAATATTTTGTTATGTCTATGGTCGGTCCCAGTTTCTAACACACTTTGGGATAAAACTGTTCTTATATCGTTCAGTTTTGCACTTATACATAGGATAAGTGCGTTTATTTCTTAGACTGAATTTGTGAGATATAGCACTGGGAAGTAGCGTTCTCAACTTATCGTC